CGCGGCCAGCGGCCCACAACGGCAATAACTGCGCGGGCGGCCCACTGGGGCGCGCGCCCCAGCGCATAGCGCGGCAACCGGCCGGCCCAAGCGGCGCAGGTGGCGGCCCAACGTGGGCGAACGCCCAGGCGTAAGGCAGCCCAACCAGCCGGCGATTTTTGCAAAAATGACCCTAGGCTTTTCTTTATTCAACGCTAGATCCAGAGTCCTATTTAAATGAGTCACGTATTTCGCAGTAAAGACCCTGTATAAAATATTTGCTTGGATTTATACCCTCGCTTCATCCTCAAAAACAGAGGGCCGACGGGGATTACTGGCCGGCGGCGGGAACGGCATGACGGGGCCGGGGAAAGGCACGGCGGCAGCGGACCAACCGCCGGCGAGCCGCACGGGGACCCACGCGGCCTTGGGCTGGCCGCGGCAGGAGCCGAGCTGGCCCATGGCAGCCTACCCACGTGAACCGAGGCGACAGCAAACCGGCTGCAGTGGCGCCGCCCAGACGGACGGCGTGGAGGAGGTGGAGCCGCGCTCGGCCATCCTCCGGGTGATGGCGGACCTCCTCGGCGACCCGGGGTAGGGGACGCGTCGGCGCCGTAGCTGCGCGTGGCGAAGTCGTGCCGGCGCGGATGGGACAGCGCGGGGACGCGTCGTGGCGGTGCGCTCGGTGATGGCGGCTGCGGGGCAACACGGCATGGTCAGCAACGGCGTCGGCGGTCTCGGCCCTGGGCGGAAACGGGGACGCGGCACGTTGACGGAGCGGAGGGCGAGAGAGCAGGCGCTGGAGCTCGACGGCTAGGCAACGCATGGGAGGTCTATAGATATGACCTAGGAGCAAAAAAAACCTAGTTGGACACGAACTCTAGCCAATCAGAAGCGAAAAAAACCACACAAACTAAAAAATTGCTATCTCAAATATTATGGTAAAGCAATGAGCACAAATTATATAATTAATTATAGCAATTAGCAAATTATACTATTTATGATTATTTTTTTTCTTTCAATTCCAACACAAATGCTGCTAATCGGCCTCGGCTTCACCAAGCTACAGGTGTCGCCGGAGCCATAGCTGCCCTAAACAGCAAGCCATGGCTATGGCTATGTCTCGCATTAGCAGCTGGAGGGTTCCCATTTGAAATTGCACCCTATAGCAACCCAACCTCCTAGGGTTTTGTTTCGCTGTTGGTGATTGCTCAACCAAGGTGAGACCGAGGGCGAGTATACGAGAGATGGTTGATTGAGCAACTGGTGAGCATTAAGTCTGCTCCTACTTGTGTTCGTGCGTGGTCTTTCTTTTGGCCTGGCCCACAACATAATAAAAAGTATAGAACAACCCATTGCGGGATTCTCGACAAGACTTTTTCTTCTCTGGTCTCAATCTGTTTGGCGTTGCCACTCTATGAATACAAGGTTATTCCGGTCATGAAGATGAGAGGAAAAATAGGTGTTCTACTAAGGCTTTATTGTTATAGCTGGGGTGGGCGCTCACATCGCCTACAAGGTGGATCCGCTGCTGAGTGCAATTTTTTTTTAGAAAAAGGAATTTCTATTTTTGGCCTCTGCAAGAGTTTTGCACACAACCATTCATTATTACAAAGTTCAAACTCTAGCAGAAAAGCTCACAAAAAGCAACAGAAGCAAAGGATGTAAAAGAGCCAAACGACGAGCTAAGCACTAAGCCTATTAAAAGACAGCAATCCATTTTTAGGGAAAATCTCTATTGTTGTAGTCTCCAATGGTCGACATACCAACTTCAAATTGGATTAGTCGTCCTCCTTGTGAAGAGTGGACCAAAGACGTATCCAAAAGGTCACCCTGAAAATAACCTGTAAATAAATATAAAAATTGCACCATATATTTGTTGTCAATCTTATAGACCAAAATATTGCACTACCCAAATTTGAGTGCAACTATATTTATGGTTATTTATTTATTAATGCCGGATGACATTTTTATGTTGGCTCTAGTAAGAAAGTGAGCCTAACAGTTGTTTGGGGTAGGCGGTAACCATTCAAATTTATATCCTCTTTTAACTCAAATCCTCTTTAACGTAGGACCTTAGAGCCTTATATATACCAGTATACCACCGTGCGTTAACACATCTGATAAAAACATGGGCAACTTGGACCGACGAGATGGTTAGCACCTGAGGAGGCTTGCTGGTGCCTGGTAGGCCGTCTAGGTCCGCCGTCCGCGTCTATGCTGGACTCACTCGCGTTTAGGCTGTTGTCCGCAAAGGCGCAAGCTTCCAACACCGGCCATGTACCAAACACCAACGACTTGCGCCAAAAGAGGCCAAATCCACAGCACCTCCGTTTACACCACGCAATGCCTAATCTCGGCTACGAAGCTCAAATTCCCTTTCTCTCCCCGCCCTTTTTCACTCGTGACGCGGTGACTCATTCGCAGCCATGAGCCGCGACCCACCGCCAAAACAAGGGCAACGAACCAGCTCGCTGGTCGCGCTTGGACCGGACCGGCCCCCAGCCTCCTCACGGCCCGCCTGAACGCGGTTTGAACACGTCAACCCGCGCGCCACGTCGGCCTCCCGCTTCGAGGTGGAGGGCGGATAATACTTTTCTTATCCGTTTTCATGGCCTTGCATGGTCTCACAGCCAAGTGTAAGAAAACTGCGGACGTGGCGCGCCTGTCCGTCCACGCGGTGCTTATCTGACTGGCTGACGACCCCGAATAGCTGATAGCGTCGCGCCGTCCTGTAACTCGTGCTACGCTGGGGATCGAGCCGTAGCTCGAGCGGCAAGTGCTCCGGGTGGTGCAGCGGCCGATCGTGGGTTCGAGCTGAGCTTGACTCATGTTTTCCACCGAGGTTTTCCCCCGATATTTGCAGTCTTTCACGGGTGATATCATAATAGGATCGTGACGTGTCCGTCGTCTATAAAATCAGAGGATTTTGGTGATCTCAAGAAGAACGTGATCTTCAGATCTGGGTGTAGTTATAAGTTTGTTTGTACACGGATCGTGTGAGTTATGTGCGTGTGTTGTATGGACATACATGTGTACGAACAAATACATGTGTACGAACAAATGCTACAGCTGCTGGAGAAAAAAAAAACGTGCTACGCTGATCACTCGCACTCCTTAATCCGCTTTGGCTGGGTGAGTACAACACCAACACTGGTTAGCTCTAGAATAGCCTAGCTTAGCAGTAGCAGCCAGTGCCAGTCGGCGTCACACGTCAGCCATGCTACTGTACTGCTATGTCGTTGCTTTGCTCCGTATTATGCATGTGAACATGAACATGAACCGGCAGATAAGCTGACGCAATCATCAGTCTCCAGCTAGGTCGCGTCCACTCGATTTACGTTATGTTCGCCTGGTTTATAAGTTCTCAACTAACGAATAGTATTTTTCTCTTACAATAAATCAGTAAACTGTATTTACAACTATAGTTTATCAGCCAAACGATTAGTCCTGTTCCTAGTCGTTAATTAATTTGATTAGGGATAAGCGCCCGTGCCATCTGCGAATCGCCCCCGGCTCCACCGCCAATTCCTCTATAAATAGAGCTCCCAGCGCACGCCGAGACTCTCCTCCCAATTCCCCTCTCATTTGCGCAGCCTTCTTCTGCTGACGAGTTTATAAGGAGGATTTTACTCATGTGCAATTGTAAAAGTCGGTAATTACCTATAAGCTATTAAAAAAATTGAGTTTTGATAGATGCCACCGCTCTGAACTCTTTTACTTTCCACGTCACTTCTGTCAGATTTAGCTTTAACGGTGTCAAAGTGCGGGTGTGAAAAGTCAAAAATACCCTCAGGTCTAAATATGTAATTAATTTTTTTAACATCTTAATGATATCAAATGAAAACACTTAAAACTAGAAAATTGTAGATCTCGTCGAGATCTACAATATTTTTATAAAAAATTATCTTCATTTGATTCCGTACAAAAAAAAATATGATTTTTCTAAGATAATAATAATATCAAATCATATTTTTTTTACAGAATTAAATGAAGATAATTTTTATACAAAAATTGCAGATATCGTAGACATCTACAACTTTCTAGTTTTGATTTTTTCATTTGAGGTTATTAAGATGCCAAAAAAGATTAATTGCATATTGCGACCCGAGGGGTATTTGGACTTTTCACAACCACGGTTTAACACCGTTACAGCCAAATACGACGGAAGTGGCGTGGAGGGCAAAAGAGTTCACAGCAGTAGCACGTGTGAGAACTTAACTTTTTTAATGGCTCGTAGATAATTATAACTTTTATAATGGCACACACACGTAAAAGCCTCTCCCGTAAATCACCTTGCCTTGCCCTGCCTGGGTCCTGCTAGCTGTAGCAATCACGCTGATAAAGCTGCGACGTTGATTTGGTGCGAGCTAAACTCTTGATGCTTCAGAGTTCAGATTTCGTAGTGTGAAATCTACTGCGACGTTGAAGGTTTTGAGGAACCAATTGCTGTTCTTAGCTTCAAAGGTGTCTAATCTAAAAGCATAAAAAATCTCAAACAGGGGGTTACTGGGTTTGGTAGACGGTTACTGTAGTTTGTCGCTTTTCATTTGTTGGTCCCTTGCACGCAAGGAACTTGGTATGCCCCGGTCGGCAAGCAATCAGAACACTATATTACTATTAGCAAGAGAACAGACACAGAGACGTCCCTATCACAGGAATTGAAGGGGGAATTGTGCTTGATGAGAACAGACAGAGACGTCCCTATCACAGGAATTGAAGGGGGAATTGTGCCTGATTAAGTGGTCATAATTTTGCAAACCTCTAACCAAAAACACTAAAATTGTGCGTGAGTAAGTTTATAGGGCTAAACTGCTAACCAACAGCAGCAAATTGTGCTCGATTTAATTTGGCATAATTAATTTTGCAACAGAAGTGATTAAACAAAAACAGAGTATGCCTAACAAACTTGGATGAAAAGGGTGAATGATTTCTCTGTTGCTGGTACTCTTGATTGATTGATTGATGTTGGTTGCTCTGACGTTTGCAGCATCCCGTTGCCGCCATGGGTGCTGGAGGAGATGAGCAGCAACCCGGACATCGTGTACACGGACAGGTCCGGTCGCCGGAACCCTGAGTACATCTCTCTCGGCTGCGACTCACTGCCGGTGCTCAAGGGCCGGACCCCCATCCAGGTCTACACCGACTACATGCGCAGCTTCCGCGAGAGGTTCCGTGACTACCTCGGCAATGTCATCGCGGTAATTAACCAGCCACCGTTATTACGATCACTTAACATTGCAATGCAGTTGAGCATAAGGATGTCATGTTGTGATCTTAGGCTAAACCACTTGTGTTTCACTGTTGCAGGAGATCCAAGTGGGCATGGGTCCTTGTGGAGAGCTGAGGTATCCTTCATACCCTGAGGCCAACGGAACATGGCGTTTCCCGGGCATTGGCGAGTTCCAATGCTATGACAAGGTAGGAAACAACACAGGCACATCTGATAATGAATTGTTGAGGCTTGAGGGGTATTCGGAGTTGCTGGTGAACGTTTGCTGAATTGTTGTCCGTGTTTGCGTTGGTACAGTACATGCAGGCATCGCTGGAAGCCGCAGCCGTGGCGGCGGGCCACGAGGAGTGGGGGAGGGGCGGACCGCACGACGCCGGGGAGTACAAGCAGATGCCCAACGACACAGGCTTCTTCCGGCGCGACGGCACGTGGAGCACTGAGTACGGGCATTTCTTCCTGGAGTGGTACTCGGGCATGCTCCTGGAGCACGGTGACCGCGTCCTGGCCGCGGCCGAGGCCATGTTCGGCGGCACGGGCGCAACGCTCTCCGCCAAGGTCGCTGGCATCCACTGGCACTACCGGACCCGGTCCCACGCCGCGGAGCTCACGGCCGGGTACTATAACACGCGGTTCCACGACGGGTACGCGCCGATCGCGCGCATGCTGGCCAAGCGCGGCGCCGTGCTCAACTTCACATGCATGGAGATGAAGGACGAGCAGCAGCCGCAGCACGCCAGCTGCTCCCCGAGCTGCTGGTGCAGCAGGTCAAGGCCGCGGCCAGCAAAGCCGGGGTGGAGCTCGCCGGCGAGAACGCGCTGGAGCGGTACGACGAGGCGGCGTTCTCGCAGGTGACGTCGACGGCGCGCGGTGCGGGCCTGGCCGCGTTCACGTACCTGCGCATGAACAAGACGCTCTTCGACGGCGACAACTGGCGGCAGTTCGTGTCCTTCGTCAGGGCCATGGCCGACGGCGGCGCAAGGCCGGCGCTGCCGCGGTGTGACACGGGGCACTCGGACCTGTACGTCGGGTTCGTCGACGCCGCCAAGGGGAGGAAGGCGCCGGAGGCCGAGGGCGCCGCCACCGCCGCGGCACTGTAGGTGGATGCCCATGCGTGTGCGTGCACACAGACACATGCGCCGTGCTGTTGTATATGTGTAGGGTACGTGCACCGGAGAAGCGGAACTGTATAGATTCAGTCAGGGCCTTGCAGGTTGCAGAGTTTTATAGGCTGTAATCGAGCAGGCAGGTAAGGAGGCAGGCATGTCAGAAGTTAGGCTGTCATCAGTTTATTTGTTCCATTTCGAACTGTATTATAAGGAGCAGCTTGGTGACTGTTCACTGTCATGAAGGAAAATAGAAATGCCATTTACTACGAGTAACTAGATGAATACAAATTGCGCATACATTTTCACAGTGCTCAGTAGGAAACATGGCAGGTGTGAAATCAACCAATGACACTTGTAGCTATCTGAAATCAGTGATTCATCAGTGAGAAAAACATACCTTACCTTGCCTATAGTGATCCATGGGTAGTTAGTGTTTTGAGCAGTCTTGGTAAAATAAACTAAAAAATGGTTCTGCTAAAGTCACGGTAAACAAAGAAGTCTTCAACTCTGTAACTTAGTGAAAACTATACTTACAACCATCCTTGATTCCACATCATTTTACACAGAATCTCTTGTATTAAGATTTTTGAATGGAAAAAAACTTGTTGAGTAAGTAGTTAATTAAAAATAAACGACAAGATAACCAATTAATCAAACTGTACCATTGTTTGAAAAATGAAAGAAAGATGCCCCAACTTGAAAAATGAATAGACCTTAGCTGGTTAGCAATTAATCAAACACACGGAGACACTAAAGTCTTCGGATGACCAAAAATGGTTGAGTTCTATTTGCCCTCAATGAACATTTATATGATATAATAAGGTTATGTGAATCAACTATTTTAGTATCACAAAAATGGTAATGGGAATAACTATTTTAATATCACAAAAACGGAAAGATCGCGGCGTGGGAGTTTAACCTATCCGACTTCGACCCAGCCGTCGACCCCCACGCCGTGAGTTCTGCGCCGTGAGTTCTGTTTACCTCGTGCAATGGAGCATCGGCCTGGAATAACTGCGTTACGAGTTCTCAGGGAATCACGTCCCGGAACCGTTCCGCTAGGAACAATGGAGCCATCATCTGTCATGGAATAACTATGTTAAAGAGAAACCTAATCATCATCATCACATAGCTTCACTAATAACCGGGGGGATAGTCGCTTCTTTTCTAGTTTAGTCCTGCATTACACATGTACATTTGCTAATCCAGAACAAAATTTAACAATTTAATTACACTTACAAAGACATCTTCACGACCTTTTGGCAGTATTCCTCGTCAATTAGCAGCCAGTGAGCCAGAGATTCATTGGCAAACTGTAAGCATCCATTCCATGAAACATGCACCATGTAATATGGCATGAAATTATTTATGGCAGAGAAATGTACAAACAAAGCGTATATGCATATGAAACCACAACAAATGAAGTCCTCAATGGTAAAACAGTTTTCCTATGTAACATAAAAGACGAACAAAACATACAGTAACGTTCAGACTTTGGTTCTGCATGATTTTTTTCAAGCATCAATACATGGCAATTAGTGCAAATAACATTTACAATCCTGCCATCCGGATACTGATTGGTGCTATCTAACAGTAGCAAGTGCATTAGGCAATCAAATGCTTACAAGAAGGCATCAAGTGTTTAGAAGCGCATTTTATATCCGTTGTTTCTCCTCCTTTCAGACATTCAGGAAATTGCAAGCCTGCTCAAACTTGTGTGCCGATTCCCAGGCAAAAATAGCTCACTGAGCAGGTTGTTCCCTCCTGAGACAGAAGAAAAGCTGTAGAACACTGGAACAGGAAGAACTCACCGCGGTGGCCCGAATCTTCTATCAAGTGACCAAATGTATCAATCCTGCCATTCCATAAATCGTAAGGGAACAGCACGCTCAGTGAGAGATCAACAGGAGGGGCAGCATTAGCATACGTACTCCTGGTTTGCCAGATGCCAGTCCAGAAGCATGCTTCCTCCATGCTCAGCTACATCATGCGCTGCCCGCAAGGGTTCTTGACTAGGAGGAGGCGTGCGGCTGTGAAGGTCACAGAGTCTACGGTGAATGGCGGCGGCGGCCCGGCCCTCCTTCCTTCGGCGCCCCGTTGGCAGGCCGCCTCCCTCTCCTCCACGGCTATGGTCTGGCCCTCCAACACCTCCGTTGTAGTGCTGGAATCCCGACGGTGGCCCATGGGAGGATGATGGAGAGGGGGAGAAGCGGATGGCAGCGAGCTGGAACACAGGTACGGGCGACTGGCCGAGCCGCCGAGGATGAATCGCTGCGTGATTGCCGAGTGCACTTGTCGGAGCCCGAAATCGTTAGCAGCCCCTGTTCCAGACTCGTAATCGGACATAGAGTCCGAAAAGTATTCAGAACCGAACCGACCTCAATCGTATGAAACTGCCCCTCACGCCCTGACTGCCGCACTATATATATGTCCACGACGTGGGCAGCAGGACCGCAGGAAGACTTCGAGGACTTTACGATCACGAATTTTCGACAGCAGAGCGCCATGAACTCCACCGGGCCGCCTTTGGCCACGCCAGCAGGTTCGTACAGCGCCGTGCCGATGACACCGCTGCAGCCGGCACCTATGTCGATCGTGCCCATGATGCCGCTGCAGCCGGCGCCGTTCGCCGTCCCTGTACACGAGGTCTGGGCCGACAACTTCCACGACGTGGAGGCCGCCATAGGCTACTTCGCGGCGCACGCACGCTGCGTCGCGGTGGACGTGCACTACCCCGGCGTTGTCCATGGCGGCGCCGACCATCACGACTTCGTTGCGCTCACCGCGGAGCACCGGTGTACGCCACGGTGAAGGCAAACGTGGACGCCCTCAAGCCGCTACAGCTCGGGCTCGCCGTCTTCACCGACGCCGGAAAGATCGCGGCGTGGGAGTTTAACCTATCCGACTTCGACCCAGCCGTCGACCCCCACGCCGTGAGTTCTGTTTACCTCAGAGGGCGCGGCCTCAAGTGCGACGAGCTCCGCCTGCGCGGCATCCCCGTGGCGAAGCTTACCAGGGCGCTCCGTTTGATAAGCCGGCCAGGGGTGTCGTGGGTCACACACACCGGAGCCTACCATGTCGCGTACCTGATGAAGATCGTCAACGGCGGCAGCCAACTTCCCAGCGACATAGCCGGATTCCTGGCCGCCGTGCGGCGGTCTCTTGGCGAGGACGTCTACGATGTGGCCACGATGGCGCCTGACTGCCGAGACATGCCGGCGGGGCTTGAAGGCATTGCAAGCAGGCTCGGGGTGGCGCCGCGTCTGTCGATGCACCCGCTCGCTGGCGCCGGCAGCGTGCTCGCTCTTGGAGCCTTCATGAAACTCCGATTTCGCGTGTTCCGAGGTAACGTTACCAGATACAGAGGCGTTCTCCAAGGACTGCAGGCTGCCTAAGGGTCATCATCGTTCAAGCAGACATCGACGAGATTTGTTCTGTTTTTTTTAGAAGAAAAAAAAGAAGAGCTTGATCTTCTGGAATTTTATTTTATTTTTAATACTTTTTAAACTATTTTTAAAACCGACACTGTTTGATTTTTTTTTTTCAAAACTAACACTTTTAACGCGCCAACCAACATGGCACGGCCAAACCACTCTACCGCGCCATGCATAGCGCCGCGGCAACGACCGGTGACGTGGCCTAGCTCAGCCGCGCCACATATCACGGCGAGGCAGAGCCACGCCATCGCTCACGGTGTGGCAGGCCCCAGAAAAGGTCCGCGACGCGGCTCTCTCTTCCCTTTCTCTATCTCTCTCACTCGACCCCGCACGCCCGCCACCGCCCTCGCCGCCGCGCCACGCACGCCGCCGCCGCACACACGCTGCTGAGTCCGCGACTGCCGCCGCCCGCCGCGCCACGCACGCACGCCGCCCACCGCCGCCCTCACTACGCCGCTCTCACTACCGCCATCGCCCTCACTGCCGTGCCACCGTTGTACACCGCTCCCCACTGTCGCGCGGCCCTCCATCTATCTCGTGTCCACCCGCCGCCGAGGCCCGGACACAAGCTCGCCTCCCCACGCGCAGAACGCCTTGAACGAGCGTTCAGCGCGCCGCCCGCGAGATGACGAAGCGCGCGCCGCCGCCCAGCGAGGACGAGAGCACGCTGCTCCCGGTAGGACGAGTGCCGCCGCCCTTGAGGATGAGCGACGTTCTTTGCTGCATGAGAGACGCAGCGCCCGCCGCCCTTGCGAGGACGAGAGCATGCTGCTGCCGCGAGGTACTCCCCTTGTGTATTTGTTGATTGAATCAAAATTGTTGTTACTTAGGATTAAGATGCAAAATTAGTTTGAATGATTAGTTACTATAGTTAGTATAGTAAGTTAGTACAATAAGTAAAGTTAGTATAGTCAGTAAAGTATAGTTAGTATAGTTAGTAAAATTAGTTAATTAGTTAGTATAGGCAGAATAGTAAGTTAGTATAGTTAGTAAAGTTAGTTAGTTTAGTTAGTACAGTTAGTGAGTCTAGTTAGTTATTGTATTTAGTATAATTAGTTATTGTAGTTAGTCTTGTATAGGTGTTAATATTAGATTAGTTAGTATAATTATAGTTAGAATAGGTACTAATATTACTATGGACAGTACGCACGATGATTTCAATGACTTGATTAAGTTTTTCTTGAAATGCTTTTATTGATGGATTGTTGTGTTAGAGTTTTTTACGGAGGAAGTGTTAGGAGAGAAGATTGTATGTTTGAGGATATGAAAGAAGAATTGGAATGGTTTGATGAACCTCCTAATTTCAACGACTTTTGAGTCCGTTTGAATGCAAAGTTTGACGGTGATTTCACACTAAAGGTGAGGTTTGATACTAGGAAGACTAGGGCACACTATGTCCTGATGCCCTTGCGCGACCCTGCTCACTGGTCCCGCTACAATAAGGTGCTTCAAGGTTCCAATATGCCCATGGCTGAGGTGGTGGTGGAGAATGGGTACAGATGCACGGTGTCCTGGACGGGCCGTCCATTGATGGTGTTGGAGGCAATGAGCAAG